CGTTGCAGCGGCTCACACTCGCTCTGTTCCAAACTCTTGAAGATAAATGCCATTGAGTAGCAGGTTCAAATGACAGGCAGAGCGATATCTGTCCAGAAGAGTCAGGAAGACAAATCACAAGAAGACGTGGCAAGAGACAGCTAAATTAGCTACATTCGGAAATGCGAAGCGACTCACCACCCAGGCAGTAATCTCCCATCAGAGGTTTGCCACCATTGTGTTAAATTCAACATAAGCTATTGTTATTACGCTACGCCAAAGGGAATACCATACAATACAATACAGCTTTATTGATAAAGTGCATTCACACCCGCTGCAGCTGTAACAAAGCGCTTTAAAAAACATTTAAAATACTCCATCCAAGAAATCAGAATATTTCTCCATATAGAAGGTGCATTGGATTATAACGCGCTCTGTCGGCTTTTGAGAAAATTGAATGGCTTTCGGTGTGCCTTATAGTGCGGAAAATACGGTAAAACCACTGTCAAATGATTTTGGTGAGAACATTTTACAAGGGCCACATAGGCTAATCTTGACAAATGTCCGGCTCTGCGGATGCAATTGGAGGACTCCCCCTCGAAGAAAAGCGGCAGAATAGAAGCTGACGAGGATGACGCAAGCACCCGCTGCTCGTTGCCTGTCCGCTCTGCTGAAAAGGGTAAGCGGACTGACTCAAAAGGCAGCCGCCATGGTGGAGCTCATGGATGCCTCATTGATGGCTCCAAGGTTGACTCAAAAGGCAGCCGCCATGGTGGAGCTCATGGCTCCAAGGCGCCATACATTCGCTCAATTTTGACAAAACGACACAAAAGAGGTTGCGCCGATCAAGCTTTCGGTTCTTGTTTTGTTGAATAATAAAAGAAGAACAATCAGGACTGTAAAGTCTGACAAAGTCTTGATCAGAGAAAAAGATGCCCAGGCTACCAGCTCAGCGTCGGGTGGGAAAATCCTTCAGGAAGCTTTTGAGCTGTTTATTTTCTGCCTCACTCATCACCCTAGGGTTTAGCTCAAAGACAAACATTTAATAATTCATCTGCTCATTCTTGCTTCCTCCCTCCACGGGGCTCTGAGCCAGCAGTTTTATTGGCGCTGTCACTTTAGCCAGTCGTTTAAACGGAATGTCAAGAGCTGGAATGAAACAGAGCGGCGGATGTTTCTTCTTTAAAAATAAAGAAATAAATAAACAACAACAACAACAACAACCAAGCAAGCGGTGGGGGGGGTGTTGATAGTATAGAGACAAATTGTTGCCGGAGGACAAGAGAACAATCAAATTAGGGCACATCGCTTGAAGCTGCATCATCTTGTCGCAAAGTGTCACGTCGTTGCCTTCTGCGTGCGGCGTACAAAGTCAACAGCGCGATTCAACGCTAGCGGAACCCTTTGAGAAAAAGGTAAAAAATAGGCTAAGTGACAAATATATCACAAATCATATCAGGAAAGCCTTGAACAAGAAGCTGGACTGGAAAAAGGCGTTAAAAAAATAAAAATAAAAAATCAGGCCACAGTCTTTGGGTCAATAGCGGCCGCCATGTTCACGTTCCCTCGCCGGCAATCCATCAAAGCGCGGCCGCAGCCTCTTCTGCATCCAAGCTAGCTCCGGCGCCATTAATCCCGCCGATTTATAGACAAGCAGAGAAATATTCGCAGCGCTTAATTAAAGTTGAGCATCAATTATTCAAGCAAATCCTGCTTTTATGCGATGAGCAGGTAATTAGGCTCTCCACGCCGTAGCGCTGGTCTCGGTGCGCTGATAAATTGCGCAGGATTCTCTTACCTCGGCGTTTGTGAACAGAATTTCCCAACGAGACCAAACGCAGCGGTCGGCGGACAACACAAGACCCTCGGGTTCTCAAGGTCAAATCAAGAGCGAGGAGGCAAATGACAAATGACCTTTCCTTGTCAGCTTTGCAATGTAGCGTAGGAATCACTTTGGGTAATAACAAATAATGACCCAATCTCTAACGCTGGCAAAAGACATATTGATTCCTCTCAGCCTCAAAGCCTGAAATTATGACCTTAGCTTCATCAAGATGGATACGTCTCTGTCCGCACAATGAAATATCTATTTTATGTGATTGGTGATGGGTCAGAACTCTCACCCCGACGTAATTGAATCACAATAGACTGAAATGCCACATTAATGTCTTTTCGTAACGTCAATCGTACGAAAATTAAGACTGCGTGGGCAAGGGTTGCTACATACAACGAGGATGGGAACCCGACAGTAATGACTGAGTCCAAATTTGAACAAGCTTGCGTGTTCCATTAGACTGCCATGCTTGGTTTTGGAAGGTGGGAGGAAACCGGACTACCCGGAGAAAAGCCACGCAGGCATGGGGTGAACATGCAAACTCCACACAGGAAGGCCCGGAATCGAACCTTCCTTCACCTCTGTACTGTGAGGCAGACTTATGACCTTAGCTTCATCAAGATGGATACGTCTCTGTCCGCACAATGAAATATCTATTTTATGTGATTGGTGATGGGTCAGAACTCTCACCCCGACGTAATTGAATCACAATAGACTGAAATGCCGCATTAATGTGGTTTTGTAACGTCAATCGTTCGAAAATTAAGACTGCGTGGGCAAGGGTTGCTACATACAACGAGGATGGGAACCCGACAGTAATGACTGAGTCCAAATTTGAACAAGCTTGCGTGTTCCATTAGACTGCCATGCTTGGTTTTGGAAGGTGGGAGGAAACCGGACTACCCGGAGAAAAGCCACGCAGGCATGGGGTGAACATGCAAACTCCACACAGGAAGGCCCGGAATCGAACCTTCCTTCACCTCTGTACTGTGAGGCAGACGTGTTACCTAACCATTTGATTTTTTTTTTTCAAAAACACATAAAGACCTGGAATTGAATGCCTGGATTCTTAAAAAAAAACACGAAAGAACGTTTTTGGCATTGAATGAGTGTTCAGTGCAGCAAAACAAAAGGGTTAGCGATGTTTGTTGAATCTCGTCTCATTTTTAAGCCTTTCAGGGACACGGCGGTCACCACAATGGACAGATATTCAAAAGATACTTTCTTCGACATAAATGAAACCCGCCCCCACCGAAAATGCATAAGAATCCAGATGGAAGTTATCATAAATCATGCATGAAAGGATTAAGTTAGCCTAGCCTAACCTAAAGTTAGCCACTTAAAGCTAGCCAGTCACAAAATACTGTATTGCAAATATGTCATATACCATCATGGGGGGGGGGGGGAGACTCTTCTGGTCACCCACCTGCGTCACTCGGAGACGTTTTAGCCACACCCCCAAAATGGCGCATCGGTTCAATGATGTACCTCGACAATTCCGTACTACATCCTTGTCTGCCCGTGCACACATTTTCAACAATCTTGTTCAAAAATAGTTAGAAATAAATCCGTGCATTCACTTCACATAATTTTTTTTCAACCAGCTAAAATGTGACTCAACAGCCTGTGAAATAAATCTCGGTTTAAAAATATCCACAAGTGTTTTCTCTATTGCACTCGCAGATGGCAATATATTGCAAACAGGTGACTTCATTTGCATGCCAACTGAGACTCTCCAGGCGCGCCTGTTTGGCGCCCACCGGCGTTTGGATGTTAGCGTTGATCAAACTCTGATCAAAGGAGTCAGGGGAGGGGTAAAACATGCTCGTTGAACCCAATCACTGCCGTCAAGCGTGATTGTTGTCATAAAACAAAAAATGATTGAGAACGGCGGCTGAAGTTTGCTGTGCTTCCTCGCCCGCGCGCTTGTTGGGTTCGAGAAGAATCTATGGGCTTGATCTTTGCAATGAATGACTTGCCGCGGTCCATTTGTATTCGTGCGCCGCAGTAGCGAGTAATAGCTGGCGGTACTTATGGGCGTACAGTGCATTGTAGAAAAATGATGTTCATAACTAGGTCGCTGGAACAGTATGAGGGTATTACTGTGCTTTAAAAAAATATATTAAAAAATCCAATACAATCTTAATTACTTTACATTTCAAGGTCTGTATATTATGACACTGCAGTAGTCATGGTTACGGCTTAAGGTGCAAATGTGCACGACAGTGAGGTGACTTATTTGATTTCATTTAAGGCGGAGAAGGTGTCGGTGGAGTCAAGCTCGGAAAAATGAAGCAAGGGACTCTGTAGGCAGTGAAGGACTACGGGAGAAAGGGGGCAACAGTTCAGGGTTTAGCCTTTTAAAATTGGATGACTGCAATTCTTGGCAGGGGGATTCATTAAAAAGATAATTCTTATTTATGAAGCCCTTTAAAAAATTCACATACTCTCTGTGTACTGCTTGCTATTAATTAAACTTTGTTTCTTTCCCTCTCCCTCGCTCTTTCTGCTTCCTTGCTTGCCTCCGCTCCTCGACTTCCTATTGAACTTGACGCACTAATAGGTTATGAATAATTCTGTTTCAGTTTAGACGGCAATTAGCCACCATGCCAGAGGCCATTCGTCTTCGTCTCCAACGGAGAGGTAATGTAAGAACCCAGTCGAGTCGGGCGATGCTCCGGTCGGCCCGGCGACTGCGTCGTTCAATTCTTTACGCCCCAGCGAGGAGACCCCTTGGTCACCACTTGTAACTTTGACAAGGAGAGCCGGCATCCAACTTGGGTCCGGTCGGCACAAGCTCAAGCTAGCATTAGCGTTAGTTTAGCTCAAGGCTGGGAATGAAACAATGTAGTCAAAACATTTGAGAGATACGTGAACAGAGCCGGCAGACTTGTTTTGGCTCGTTCGAATCGCCCGGTCTTGAAATCAAAACGGAGAGAAAACACGACAGCGAGAGCACTCAAGACAGATTGCCACCCAACTTGACACGTGCATTGCTTTACACGTAGAGACAGCACATATCAATAAGATCCGGACACGGAATGGCCCGGTGTAAAATAAACCACGCTATTTACAAGTCCAAAAATTGATGCCATCCCTGCAAAAGTTTACAAGTCATATTTTAAACGATAAATATACCAAAAACTCTGATCCCAGAACCCGACAAGGATGGAGGGTAGTAACTCACCCATGACGGTAAGGAAGACATTCCCCGACGCCAGCACGACCTTCTCCCTGGTTGCCCGGTCGTAGATGCCCACGTGGCATTCGTACGGTCCGTTGTCCGAAATCCGAACCTCCGGGAGCCTGTGAAAACATAGCGAGTGAGGCGAAGCCAAAGGTCAAAATACAATCCGCAGTCCACGAAAACGTGACAATGAAGCCTTTTTCGGCCAATTCGGCAGCAGAAATTTCACCTTTCACGGCTAAACAGTGCAAATGGCTCATGTCCAAGATGTGCTTACGAAAACTTTTGCCTTCACTCCTTGTCTTGCGTCACCTTTCAAATGGGAATGTTGCAAGGGAGTTTCGAGGACGTGTGTTTCTCGCATGAATCAAATGACCAACAAAACAAGCATGGATCACAGATGAACACGTTCATTCATGACAAGAGTTATCACGTATCTTCATCGACGAGACTATTCCAAAAGGAAACCTTCTCCGAGCTCCTGCGCAGCACAGAAATATTTCGCAATACCGACAATGTCATCCGCAGTCCCTCGATGATATCTCGGCTGAGCGCTGCGGTGACTCACCCGCGGTTGCTCAAGGACAGATAGACCGGTAACGACACGCTTTCCGGTTTGCCGCGCGAGGCCGCTGTTTTGGAGCGATGTGTCTATTTCCAGGTGTGCCTTCTGTATTGTACATGGCAGTTGGCGGCCATTTTATTGGAAACGGTTTTGACGAACTGCCGTTATGACGGACAGATTTGTGATGTCCCTCGAGGTACGTTGTCAGGAAGTTTGACTGTACTGTTAGTGGGATGCAAAACGGAAATCAGTACGGGGGCATATCCGATTCCACGAATGGACCCAAATTTCCGATTATTAGGTGCAGGGTGTCTGTCATCAAACTTAGTTCATCAATGAGAGCAATCTATCGCCCTTTCGATCTCGGCTGAAGCTGAGTGGCCCCCTGATCAGCTCACACGACCGATATCAATTTCTACCATCCATCCATTGGTTCGTTCCCTAACCTTCTAAATTCCTCCATTAACAAAGCAACGCCTCAATCTCGCCATGCTAAGACAACAAAAGTGAGATAGTCGTCGCCATCGTCAAAAGAAGACTTGCCAAAAGCAAATACGAATTGAAATGATGAACAAATGTTTGAAAAAGCAAAGTATATATTTAAAAAAAAAAAAAGCGTGAGCACCTCGAGACAGGAAAGGAGATTGTATCAACCTCTTCCTCGGGGGATAAGTGTAAAATAATCTCTTTCTTTTTTTCCCCTCTCTCGCCACAGTATAAAATGATGAGCATAGCACTGTGAGCCTCCCCGGCGGGGAGCTAATTGGCTTTGTCTTGGCTGGCTCCATCCTAGTAAACGCTGATGTAGCCCGTTGCTTTTGTTTTTACGCACAAAGCCCGAGCTGGTCTCCACAGTCCCGCTCGACTGCAGCGGCATTCGCGGATTCAAATCGAGACAAGAGAGAAAGAGAGAGACGGAGAACATCAAGGGGAGGATATGCGCCGTCTGCCAGAAGGAGGCCGGAAAGGACACTCCAACTGCAGTGAGTTCAGACAGACCCGACCAGTGTTTGTCGGTGAGAATCAATACTGACGCTCTTGATAAATATTGCACAATTGTTCTATGTAGTTTTCGGTACTGTATATGATTTTTGGGAGTGAGGATGAGACTCCCTGTCTTCTTTCCATGTTCGTGGACGTGCAGATGTAACTGAGCTGTAAAGTGAATTAACCGTACGCGGTTGGTGTCAGCACACACAAAGTTCGGGCCGGGGTTTCAAGAGCGTCGAAGCCTGACCGTTAACCCTCCACCCCGCACTCGGAGACAGCAAGCAAGCTGCCCTTACCTCAACTTCGGAAATCTCACGCTCATCTCAGGACCAACTAAAAAGTGTCCTCTAACCCGAAACCTACACTTAACCTCATTCCTACACCAAACACTTAAGACTAATTCTTAACTCAGAGGCTTCAAAAGAGTCCTAACCCAAAACTTTATCCTAAAGACAGAACTCAGTGAAAGCTCCAAGAGCCCCCTTGTTAGGGTTTATTAACACCCCCCAAATCCAAAGACAAAGCAACTCAGAGACAGTTACAAGTGTGGCCTAACCCCAGCTGTCAGACGCTTATCTCAGAAACGGCGACAAAGAGTTCCAAGGAATCGCTTTCCATCCATCCACGGGTGGTTTGAATCGGTAATAGAAACAATTCACAGCGGTCCTGAAACCTATCCATTCACCTGTCCATCTCCTGCACCACTTATCTTGTCTCGTACCAAAAAGAGGCCGAGGTGCATCCCAACTGCCGGCGGTATATGCTGAAGTGATCGCCTGTCAGTCACATGACACGCGGTCTTCACTGAAACAAACTTACAGGGTTTTGTTTTGGAGGCAGAGTCGCTTCCCAAAATAGGAAAGCCATGCGGATATTGCACTTCACGTGAAGAAGGCAAAGAGAGTGAATGAGTTTGCAGTGTTTGGACAGGATGGATATGGCGAGCCAGAGACAAATGACGCTCATTGTGAGGAGGGCTTTTGCCAAAGCACATACTCAACCGGATAACAGACGCAGTAGCTTCAACTCGTCAATCTCAATGAGCCCATATTTTGGTTTGTCTCGGTGCAAAAAGATATTGAATCAACACACATTTTTTTTTTTTTTGTCTGAGGGAACCGTGCCCAGAACACGGCAGAGGGGGGGATGGATCGTCGCCCAGGGGTTGTTATCGGAAAGCTCTTTTCCTGTTTAGGAGGCCTGTCCGCACGACGCCCTCGGCTGCTTTGCTAATGCCAGCATGTGGGACCGACGAAATGGAGCATGAAAGAAAGCCGCTCCTTCGCTCAATCCCTCCATCAAAATAACAAGCACGCCGTCAGATATTCCTCCTGGCCCAAAGCTTTAAGGCCGACAAAAGGTCAAAGTAGCCAAAGCAGGTTAGCTTAAGCATGCAAAGAGAAGGTGTGTAATCGCTCGTGTATCCTGCAAGGAAAAAAAAAACAAAAACAAACAAAAAAAAAACAACACACAAAACAAAAACGATGAGGATAATGCGAGCACTGAGGCATGTGTGATTGGTTTTACTTAGATGAGACTAAGCGCTGATGTAGCTTGTCTCTCTGTTCCTTCCCCGCAAAGCCGCGGCTCTCTTGTTTGCTAGCCTAAGCGGCACATTCACAGATTCAAATCCTGCATGAATGCAAGGGGGAACGTGCTCGGTGATAAAACAGAGGAGGAATTATTGGAAAGAGGGGTGGGGGTTGGGGTGGGGGGGGGGATCATAATACAGACTTTCCAGTGATTCCTTTGCCTTGTGAATCCTAATTCAATCCCGCTGCTCAGATACACGTTTACACAACGAGAATGAATGTGGAGATGGGGGGGGGGGAAAAAACTCTTATAAGGGCACCAATCGCAGTCCTAGCCTACCCAATTTAGTCTTTTGACTGGTCTATGATCTTGTGAAACAGTCACAGCCCAAGTCCTGTTCCAAATGAAAGTACGCATAAACCGCGGAAAAAGTGCTAGGGTTAGGATCGGGTTAAGGCGGGGGTCGCTCTGGCTCTTTCGCGCCGCCCTAGTGGCTCCCTGCTGGAGCTTTTCCAAAATGTTTGAAAATAGAAAATAGATGGGTTAGGGAAATATATTTTTGCTTTTGATATGGTTTCTGTAGGAGGACAAACATGACACAAACATTCGTAACGTTTGCCAATGCTGTAAAAATGTGTCGGTGCCTCATCAATTATAATTCAATCAAACGGCACACAAGCATGTATACACAATCACAACAAATTGGGAGAATCCGTTTAATGAGCCCCCCCTAGGGGAGGCATGGTGACAAAGACGTCTGCACACCTGCCTCAGTGTCTTAAGGCCTGGGGTGAAAATCCGGCTTTTTTTTCCTCTTGCTTGCGGGTTTTTTTTTTTTCTTTCTTACTGTCTCACGGTACCATGGTTTCCTCCTGCTTTCCCAAAGCATCTTCTTCCTGTACTCTCAGAGGCGTGAACGTGAGAAAGTGGATGGACGAGCGCATGGTGGACTTTCATTTCAAAGGGACAAGAAGTGGATCTGACATCTGCTCCGGCCAAACATTCACGCGGTCCACTGCAACTCATCTTCTGGCGAGTTGAAATCATTTTTCCAAAGTGTATGTGAAGTTTCCTGGTTGGCTACAGTTTGTTGTATTTTATCACCGAGTTATTTGTTCAAGGAGAGAGAATGGTGCACACCTGCGGGGGAGAAAAAAACGCAAATGGCGAAGAGCCGTTTTCAAATTGCCACTTTGGCGTGTAAAACCAAACACGTAAAAGCTGTGGAAGCGATGCCCGTCGCGCCTATACGAGCCACGTGGACTTCCTGTGTCATAATCTGAGGTTGAGCACAAGAGGTCCTCCACGCTTTGAGTGTCATCAGCTCCCCGCAAGAGCGCTGTAATGTTTGTTCGCAACGACTAATCGGGGCCTTGGCACTTCAACAGAGAGAAACAAATCCACAGCTGCTTTTCCCCGCTTTGAAAGATTTTGTGTCGTGGCTGTCGGAGCAAAGTGATGGCGAGCAATGTCGCATGAAGTCCATACCTGTGTCACGTCGGAAGTCGTTTAATTATTTCATCGCTGTCGAGCAGCCACAATGACCTCCATTATTGTTCTTTTTTTTTTTTTTTTTTTTTTTAAATGAGGAAAAAAAAGCTAATCTGGAGGAAGCCCTTTGCTTTATGAAAACGTTGAGATTGATTTCCAATCTGCAGGCATGGCTTAATCAAAAGCAACATTTTGAGTGGGAATGATGTTCATGAATTTGTATGTCGTGAGCAATCACCCGTGCACGATTAATTTGGTCTCAAGTGCTCTCAAAAGAAAGAAATACAAGCTCACCGAGAGTCAGTGTAGCTACAGACTCACCACAAGGCGCTCTTAACCCTTCTGTCCTAAAACATCCCATAATGGGAGTATTGACAAACAAACAAAAATAGATCTTCATGATTTATGAACATGTTGAAGGCGCTAACTTGTCCATATTGAATATTCCAAATTGAAGGTTTTATTTTTATGTATATGCAAATGATAGTTACTTTTACCCATAGCACAATACTGCTTTTCATTGCTTTTATTGTCCATAGAGGGCACCAACCTAAATAAGTAAATAGAAACTATATATGTATGGATAGGTCTGACGCCACTGAACATTTTTGAGTGGTCGCAAGAAAAAAAATATTCAGAAATGACTTTGATATTACACCTCAAAGCCACCGTTCCAGTTTGGAGCCTTTTTTCCGATGTGTTGTTAAAAAAAGTCAACGCACAAGGATTAAGTGAGACTCTGCCCAGTGCACACCGCTGGCTCTTATGTCTGACTTTAAACCGGCTTTTTCTCCATGTCACGCGCCCAATCGCGGCCGACAAAAAGCCTCTCTAAAGCGGCAAAGCAGGGGTCTCGAATTCCGGTCCTCGACGGCCCCGTTCCTGCACGCTAGATGCTCAAGTGTGTCACTGGGCGCCGTGTAAGAAAAAAAAAAAATCAGGAAAGCTGAAAAACACTTTTAGGTGAGTACTACATCCTGATTAGTCATAAAGGCAAATCTCTGAATTGACTTTACAGGGTCTTTAAAAAGATAACCATCCCGTTCCCTGTTTTGTTCGTTTTCCTCCAGATTAGATAAAAAATATTTCGTGAAATGCCCAAATTCCGATGCTAAACTAAGCCCTGGTTCTGTGTATGTAGAGGTCAAAAGACATTTTACAACAGCAATTAACTGGCATTTTAGAGTGGTCAGCGGTTAGGGGGCCGAATCATTTTTTATAATCATCAATACTTGTGTACAAGACGCCGCGGAAGGAGACTGTCCCGAGCTGACCACGCAGGCCAACTGCGCTGATCAAAATATGAGTAAAGGTCAGCGCGGCCTAGTTTCTATCTGCATGTTCATTTTTAAATCCGACTTCTTTCCAGTTTGTCGTGAATGTGTGTGTGTGTGTGTGTGTGTGTGTGTGCATGCGTGTGTTCCCGCTGTAATGATGCTACCCTCCCAAAGGGATAGTAGGCTTGTCCAGATAAATCATCCTCAGTTGGGCAGCCGCACCAAACAAGAGTAGGGGGGGGGGGGTCGGGTGTACAAAGCCAGATAAACAGGAGCAACGCACGACGAGAGCGACGTGAACACGAGCCGGATGGGAGATGGAAAACACAATGATGACTGGTATTGTTCCAAAAGCGTGCCGGATTCAAAACAAAGCCATCGGTTCGACGTCCGGTCCGAGCCGCCTTATTGACCCGATCGGTCGAAGGCGGGAGCCCAAAGCAGCTGCAACTCAAGACGACAAAGACATTCAGGCAGATAGATGTCAGCCATTGTGCTGAAGCCCGAGACAATCCTGAAAGATGTTTCCAAGGAAATCACTCCCACTTTGTCTTCCTTCAACTCGCACCGACTCACATCGAAATCTGTTCATAAATATGCAATGTGGACCTTAACAGGGATTTAAGTATCACGAAGAGAACACGGGGGCCAGATGTTTGCTAATTCCTGAAGACTGAACCCTCTATCCTGAACAGAGTGGCTAATTAGTGTTTACCCAAGCGCAATGCCCTCATTAATGATGGAATTTCAGGTTGGCAAGCCGATCAGTACCAGGACATGGTTCCGACGTGAAACAACTTTCTTATATGGCTCATTCTCGCTTTTTTTTAATGCAAATGTATTCACTGCAGCCCACGGAATGCAGCCTCACATCAGGTGGGTTGAGAGTCGGTTGAAGTCAAACTGACCTCGCGCATCGCAATGAACAAGACTCCAAAATGCGGCATTTGTGTCAGCAAATGTTTTATCCGCCCATACCTGGTGTTTTGGCTTCCTTTGTGTTTCCATAAGGGCTGTCCAAACTTGTTTTTTTTTCGTTTGAGGCCCGCATGCATCAAAATGGAAGGATGAAAGGGCCACTTTATTGTCTATTTCATTTCATCAGCTTTCATTTCATCGCCGCGCATGAAGGATATCCCTCAAAACGCTTTTCCATATTCGGACATGTCTCGTTCCGCATGAAGTTTTACCTCGGTTCAGTTAAACTGCCATTTTTTTTCTTTTTTGGGCATCAAGCAGATGATTCGATTTCTGTCTCATAAAAAGTGAAGCAACCCCCGCGAGGTTGAGTAAGACTCACCGAACAGTTGACTGGTACACGAGGTCCTCGCGCCTGCGGTAGTCCTCCATGTGAGAGTAGTTGGTATTGAACATGGCGTCGTAGGTGAAGATTTTCTGCTTGATGGTGCCTCCGTCTGTGACCTGCGAAGCGAGGGTGGAAAAAAAAAAAGGAGAGAGAGAGAGGACGCTCGTGATTCATCTGTTGATGGATGGGACGGGGCCAACCTTTTCGCACCTTGAGCTCTGCCGACGCGCAACCTGTTGTCGGCGGGCCCCGCGGTGGAGGAGAGACGTGTAATTGCCTCATTGATTAATGTGCCGGAATGATAAGCCTGTAGAGCTCCGAGCAAAGCCGTTGAACAGCTGCTTTTTTGGGATCACATCTGGGAGTCTCTCCGGCGCGTACACGGTTGAAGCTTCATGACACGGGAAGCATTGACAGTGTTGCGTTCGGCACAAATAATGGCTTTCGGAGGAGCATATTCAAAAAACGCTGTTCTCATCTTTTTCTTTTTTTTTTTTCTTCTTCTTCTTTCTCGGGCAGAGCGATGAATGAGTAGTTCTTTCCTTCCTCCAATATCCACAGGATTGCAAAAGTCACTTAGCATGTGAATGACAGTGATTTCTTCTCTTGCGCGAAGGCCTCAAGCTGCCATAAAGGGGGGGAAAAAAGGTTGACAGGATTTTAACGGAGCCGCTAATGCCGCTTTGAAGAAGGAAATTGTTTGGTGGGCCCGGAAGCAAGCCCCCTTTGCTTTTTTTTTTTTCTAGTTTAGAAAGTATTCTTCACATCAAGCCAATCCGCCTCTCTCGGTTAAAAGAACGTCAAGGCGTTTCTTGATGAGGCATTATAGTGTACACACAAAGACAAAGCCAAATGGTATTTACAAGCGCAAACAATTATTCCGTCGACTAAGCGCTTAGCGGGCAACAGTGCCGAAACAACCGAAAGTAGGAACGTGGACGGAAATGACAAGAGATGGGACGGAGACTCATGAAAGATTCCAGTCCGACCCTCAAAGTTAAAGCAAGTCGCCGAGTCATTTAGTTTGGGGCAAGTCATTAACAAACAGGACTGCGTAACACCGACATGTTACATCATCGCGTAATTCATTTCGGATTCGATCTTTGAAGCAAACATATGAAATGAACTGCAATCACGTCATCTTTTTTAGTTTGTTCGTCTCGCTGCTTTTAAAACCATTCAAAGGACAGGATGGCAGAATACGTCCGAACATTGAAAGCAAAAAAAAAAAAAAAAAAAAAATGGTGTTGCAACATCACGCCAGCCTCGACATTAATGGACTTGTGGATGTATTTCAGTCTGCTCTGACTTCTTAGAAATACAGTTCGGCATCAGTCTTTTTGTATCTGTCTGCCGTCTATTAATGAACCTGTGTAAGTAAGATGATGATTATGTAGCATCTTCGAGATTACAATGTCCTTGAGCGGTAAAGAGACACACTGTACATAATGGGTTAGTAATGGATATATGCTACATTTCATCTTCATCTATTTGTCATGTTTGAAAAAAACAAATGGACGGCGGATCTGCAAAGCTGCTTTGTCTGGAAATGGGCAGACGTGACCATGGAACATCCTGAATTTGTGCTTATCGTTGTAGCTATTTTCCTAATCAGTGGTGAACTACAACCCTACAAAGAGTAATATGAAAATTTTCTACATCCAGCGGAACACTAATTATGGTGTGCAAAGCAGTACAAATCCACAATGAGCTCAGCTTTGGTCAGGAGGCTCGTGCACACACACACGGCTATTTCCAAAAATCCCATTTGCTCTCAAGTTTTTGGTCATTTGAGCGGGTGTGCTGGTACACGCGCTCAGTTCGACAGGAGGCGAGCGAAAGTCACATCCGTCCCTTCTCTGACACTGTCTGCGAATGCTTGTTCACCTGCGTGAGCTGTCAAATGGCACCGGGGCAAAATAGCACCGAGTGACACTTTTGTCAGTCTCAGAAATAGAAGCGGGTGCTTAGCGAAGGTAGCAATAACAGAGGCTTTGAGTTGGGCACAAAGGGGGAGAAAATGGGTCCACCACCAATTACACTTAATACGTTCCGAAGTTCATATGTTCACCTAAGTAGGTCATTAACGATATCCTCGCCTTATTTTAACAAAGGGATTTTCCCTGCTGATATTCATTACGATGCCAAGAATCCTTTCTGGCACCCCACCGAAAATATGAAATTGCACTGATCATAAAATAGTCGAAAAAAATAGACAAGCATGTCATCAAGAAATACATCAATAAAATAAACAGGATTTTAAAAGACTAAAGTCACACCTGCACAAAATGGAATGTTTGTTAATTGATGTGTGCTTTTGAAGGGGGCGTGGCTTAGCGCGTCACACCGGGAGCTCTGACACCTCAGCGCTGCTCCCCATGTTTGTGTGGCTTTTTCTCCCGGGACTCAGGGTTCCTCCCACAATTCAGAAACATGCCCGTTCATTGCGGACTCGGACTCCTCCATAGGCGAAAATGAACCCCGACGATGAAACCAAGGTGTACCTCACCCTCTCGCCCACAATCAGCTACGATCGGCTCCCGCTCACCAATGACCCCGAAAGAATGTCGGGAATGGATGGCCAGAAAATGGAATGAAATGAAGAGCCCCCTCTCAACTCCTCCTGACTGATACATGCCAAAGAAAGCGTCTGTGTATGCCCTGCTGCCCAATTGCTTGCAAAGAGGTTCCAGATTGGGATGTGTGTGTGTGTGTGTGTGTGTGTGTGGAAGTGGGAGGAAATTCGAGTGGGAGGGCGTTTGGGGATGATGAATAGCATCTGATTGCAGTAAAGTAGCATCAGACGAGGAGGGGAATGCTTCCCCGCGATTGTCGAGTCGAATCTAGGCCACGGCGTGCACACAATGCATAGTACCTCTCCAACACACAGCAGCATTAAAGAGTCGCATCGCCTTCTCCCCGCTGGATCGCGCATTCGCAGGTGAGAGGGTGCCACAGACGGGTAGCTAACAATGGGGCAGCTGCATTGCCTGCACGAGAGCTCTCTGCAGACGCGGGAGAGCGGCTTGGCCGTTGATGCCACACGTACTTGCTGACCGTGGGTGGTTAACCCAAACCCTCCTCCCACTGGCAGTCTGGCCACGTGCTATTTCAAGCTGCAGCAGCGGCGGCGGCGGCAGCGGCCACGAGAGGACATTCGGGCTCATTCGCCACGGGCCGACTGCGAGAGATTCCATCTGAATTCCTGCATCATCACCGCAGGTCACAACACCGCAGCAAGGCCTTATATGGTTGAGTAATCCACTGCTTTTCGCGGAGAGGGGATATGGGCCAAGCTCATATCGAGTCATTTTATTTTTATGAGTTATATATATACACATGCCGGACATTGCAACTCCTTCTGGTGTGCCACCTGGGGGCAGCATAAAACAGTGCAGTTACGGTTTACGGTACCAAAATACGCGGAGTCGGTCAAAACTCCTCGGCAAGTCGCAGTAATATTGGTGGTTCTTCGCTGAGGATAAAGAATATATGCCCGCGAGTGTCGTTATATCATCTTTAGACATGCGTTGTTATTGGCCGGCCCATCTACGTTGTTTTGTATTGTCAGGTCACGCATACCTCAAGGCACGACTATAAATGGTTTTCAAATGATTTGATTTTAAGGGAAATGCACCACAATGACTCTCCGTGACTTCCACTAACATCCATTCCATCCATCCATGAACGCAGTCTAAACTTAGCTCCTCCCCATGATACAAGGCTCATCTCAGAATTGAGATGTCTCACTTCAACATCGTTCCTTTACACTTTGGCAGCATCATGAGCTGTTTTAGAAAGCACAAATTCTACGCAAACAGGTGTCTTTTTCGGTGAATAGCTGCAGGAAGGAAAAACAAAAATGCAGAAACGGTGAATTTTCGAATAGCAAAGCACAACTATGCCGATGATGACTAAAGAGGCCCCCACTTTGCAACTCTCTTTGATAAGCATGAGGGAATCTCATCATTAAGTATGAAATTCCACTTTTTGCGCATTTTCTTTGTGATCTCTAAATCTAGTCTTGAATGTCAATGAAGCTGCTTTCCTCTTATAATAATTATTAAACCAAAAAACGGTCTTAATGAGATTTATTCCTATTGAGCACCTCATAAGCAGCCTGCGACACGCCGCAACAAAGAAGATGATGAGAGCTTTGTCATGAACCAGCTTGCTACTTTTTTGTCCTATCCACGCTAATTTGCCTAATGTTATTATCACATTAAGTGTCTTTTTGAAACAGATGAGGGGGGGGGGGAGTGGGGGTAAAGGGTGGCGAGCCGCAAAGGGAGCCATTGTCTTTTTGCAAAATGGCCATAATTGCCACGCGCGCAAGCGAGGAATGAATCAAGCGGTGGAATTACTCACAATAACGCAGACCTTCCTCGCAAGATGTGGAGTCAGGCAGTGAGATCAGGCCTGGTTTTCTCGCTTTATAATCACCCACACCGTGTCATCTCCATATCGGATAAAATTAGACCACAGTGGTCAAGAGAGTTTTGGCCGGAGTTTCGCCAAGATCCCGAACCACTTCACGGGAAGACCTGCGCTTTCCGTGCCGGCGTGTCTTTCAAGACCCTCACTTTTCTGGGCTGAAAGGGTGCAACGGCCCACACTTTTCGCTCTCTCTTTGCACACATCGCGTGCGGCAAGCTACACCATCAATACCACACACACCCCACGCTTTTGCTTCACCTTTATGAGGTCTTTAAAAATTCTGGATGAATGTGTTGTTAAGACAGAGGACATACGACATCATAATCGGACTTCATAAAGACATGAGTAAACCAGTTTGGATTTATGAGGTAACAGCTGTCCAACGACTTGCCAAATAATGATGCCAGTTGGAGCCGCTTAAGGGGACGGCAGAACACTTGCCAAATAATGATCTGTGACTACTATGGAGATTTTTTTTTTTTTTTGGAACATCATGGGTGAGATGAGCGTGTCTCAACTTGCACATTCAAAATAAAACGGCAATATAGAAAGTTTATCATAACGAAGCCTCTTCACCTCATGTTCAATAAATATTGAACGTGATTGTTTAAATATAAGCAGTGCTGAGTCAAAAAGCGGCGGGTCCCGAGATGCACCGGACAGTATTCTGCAAGAAAAA